CGGCGGCGGCGGCGGCCGACTGCGATACGTACGCGGGCGCCGGCGGCGGCGGTGGCGGCGGAGTCATGGACCCCAGTGTGCTTTCAGCGATGGACCGGGACGCGCTCAAGAAACAGATCGAGAACATGCGGTACCAGTCCACAATGGACCGATGGCCGCTGTCCAGGAGCATACAGGCGTGAGTACCACCCGGCCACGTTTTACGCGTTGCTAACGATCGTACCGGAAGCGCCATCATTGTTGCGTTACACTTAGACACGTATTAATAGTTTTCCGTTAGGTTAGCTTTAAAAAAAATATATATTAAAAAAATTTGTCATGATAAACGTCTGAAACGCGGTCGAAAGCCGGCCTCTGCCCGCGCCGTCCCTCCGTTTCTCGTCCCTTCGGAACGACCCTTTGCCGCGCACGCACACCGCCCGTTCGCACGTTCACCCGTACCTCAACGCCGCCGCGTGCGACGAACCGATATGTTCGCGCGGTCCCCTCGGCGGATTGGTCGCCGCCGCAGCGTACGGCCGACCGGCGGCATTTACGTTGGTCCCCGCGCGCCCGACCGCTTTCCGTCATCGGCTGTGCGACCACAACAATAACGGACACGAATACCACATAATAACGAATTCGGCCCACGTACTCGGAGTTATTTCTCGTTTAATAACGTTCACGAAACGTATCGCGATAGTATTGTTCGTCTTACGGGCGGCGGAGGAGAAGGTCCCGACCCCTGTAACACGAGCCCGACGGGAATAATTAAAATACCGCGCGCGTACGTTTATCGACCCCGCCATGAGTGCACTCAATCGCGGTAACGGACCGGCCGTGCACCGCGCCGGGACGCGCGCTGTTCCAGTGCAGTGCGTCACGTCGCGCGTAATAACCATATCCTGATATCCTGAACAACGTTACGTGCACGCGGGGCCCGTATTCCACTGTAATGGTAATGATATTAATTTTTCTACTCCAGCACGCCAGCACCCACTTGTTCCGTCCCGCGACCGATAATGCGACCACGTTGACGCGTCATCGGACGCATGTCGTCCCCGTGATTCGACGTCCATCCGCGGCCCGGGGTGAACTCCGCCGCGTACGCGGGCCCCGGCCGGTCAAGCTTTTCCGACCTACGGCCGCCGATACTGCTGCTGCTGGTCTTGAAAATATCGCGTCGATCTTTCGACTTACCGTACGGAACTGAAATCTTATTAAGCCGAAACGTAATTCTTTAGGCTAGTTGCTCTCGACCAAGGGCGTATTTAAGGGGGCAAGGTGATATGGGTGTTAGAACACCCCTTATCGGCCGTATTTTATGGTATTTCACCAAGTTGCAAACTTACAGTACAATTTGAAAAACGTACGTATGTGTAAAAATCTACAAGTTGTATACAGTTTGTAGATTTTACTTGTACTGTCTAAATATAATCGTTTTCATTAATATATCAATTGATATAAATACATGGTATTGATAAATTAAATACGAGGGAGAGGGCAGAGCCCCCCCACTTATCATAAGTCTATTAAATTTTAAAACACCTCCGTTAAACGAATCCTGGATACGCCACTGCTCTTGATCACTAAAACAGTAGTATGCGCGTTGTACAACAACCGAACGGTGAGAAAACAATTACGGTCCATCTTCAATTTCGATACCGATCTGTGCGAATGAGGCCCGCCGTAAAAAAAAGTTTGGAGACCACTTGGGCCTCAGTAGAACGGCGTTGTTCTTCGCGATCCCGTCGCGAAAATTTGTGACGGGTGCGTTCAGAACAAACACTATCGAAACCCCGAGCTATTTTTCGATCCATTTCTTACTATCAGATACGATGCGATTCCGCTCGCACACATTAACAGCTATTACTGGAAAATTCGATATGACTTCGTCGTCGATGAACGGATAAGTCTGTATACTTAGACGATACGGTAAAAAACGGTCGCGTCTTGAAAAGAAAAAAAAAAAGATTAGAATGTAAAATAATAAAAGTTTAAACGTACAAAATATACTCGACGATAATATTTAATAACCGTCTATTTAAATAAGAGATAGCATAAGTCAGCACATTACGGTAAATCATATTATGTTATAAATATTATCTGCTAGAGTTTTTATAAACCTTATTCTATTTTGGTTGTTTTCGTTTCTCTACATTTAAAAATGAAAATCATCTGAATTAACTTTACATTTATCTAGCAACAAATGTCTTCCTTGGTACACTCTTGACTTTGATTATTAAATACAATATTACATTTTCGTTTAAAGTTGCGGACAGATAGCAAAAGTTTGATAATTTGCCGACGGTCAATGAAAAATCTATCATTATTAATTATTAATATGGTGTACACAATTGCGATCAATGATTATAAATATTTCAAAACAATAATATTCAATATAACTATAGGAATACGCATATATTAATTACCTAGTCACTTTAACAATATATTTATCGGAAGACAAATATTACAAATCTTAACTGTACCGATTTTTTTTATCATACTCTTATGTTTAGTGTTGTGCACTTTTTAATATTTTTTCCAGTCGTAGTAAATAAACGGATATTACATTTAAACCAAGTAAATAATTGACAACCATCAACCATAATTTAGAAAACTGATTTCTCTCTTTATTTTTGTTATTGCTCTACAACCTTCGTTTTTTACAGCCATAGTTCTTGTTTCTAAAATAAATATAAATCATTTTATAATTTTATTTAAAAAGTTTATTTTAAACTAATTAATTTTTAAACTGAAAAACATATAAGGATTTCTTTCACATGTTCAATAGCGTCGCTAATGGAAAATTTAAAAAGCAACCTTCTCTCGGGTTTTTTTTTTTTTTTTTTTGATCAAATCTTATTTATAGGATTTATTTAAGCGAGTTTACGGGCAAAAGAGAAAAAGAGGGAGAAGTAGAGGAAGAAATAAAGAGAGAGAATAGTGGAGTTAGTAATTGGTGGGTGTTAAGGATGAAAAGCCATTGATGACAAACGACTGTTCACAGATTTCACATTTATTTTTTAACTACAATACGTATCAACAAATATTAAATTTCTTGAGGTCGTACAAATATTTTGGTTTAAAGCTTTTATTTGATTTTTAATGAAATTCCTTATATCCTTTTAACGATGAACACTTTGAATGGTTATATATGTATATATATATCATTACATTTTAAAGACTTTTTCTCCAATCATTCATATATATATATATTTTCAGTTCTATGTATCCACAAAGATATCTTACCGAGATTTATTCTGCAATATTTTATTTATTAAGTATTCGCTTTTATTTTTAAAAATAAATAGTTTTGTATCATAATAGTTTGACTGTTAAAATTAAATACAAGTCAAAAGAAACATATTTTAACTACTTATAATTAATTTGTGGAATATAACTAAAAATTAATAATTTTGATCGATACCAAACAATTACGTTGATAACTTATGTTTTAAATATTATACTACAATGAAAATTCAAAAAAAACAGAATGATGTTATAATGTATTGTTACAATAATTGGTTTCTTAAATGATAACTAAATTATATAAGCTATATGAACATAATCCATCGAGGTTTCTTTATTTTAATATTATTTAATGATCAGATATAAATAGCTAAGCATTTAGAAACTAACTAAGTAGTAGTTTATTAGTATATTGAAGTCATTTTTTAAATTAAAAATAAAATTAATTTTTGATAATCTTGATTAATTTTATTTTTAAATTTAAATTTGCATAATATTATATGTCATGATATTAAAAATACGTTATAAATATCCGTCATTTGATAGGTTTTAAAGTTTTAAAAAATATGACAATGATTATTGTCAACGATTTAAAGTTTTAAAAATATAACAAAATATTTTGGTGAAAAGCTATTAGTTTATAATATTCATGTAAATCAAAGAGTACGTTTTAAAATACATTCTTATTGGATCCATTACCGTAAACATATTATAATCATGTACCTATATTCAAAAGTTTGAAATTAAAAAATAATCTTTTCCTAACTTTTTTTTTTGAAATGGTAGTATTAGAGGTATACGCTTGATTCATGAAGTATTTTTAGTTTTTTCTTATATGATTATAGAAACTCCATTATTCAAACATAAAAAACCAAGCTTACTTAATGGATTACTCTATGCAAGTACGTAAATGTATATTTATACAATATACATGATTTGTTTAGTCAAAAGAAAAATATTTATCAATCTATCTTCTCTAATGTTAAATTTGAAAGACTACACAAAACCATATTTTTTGGGTTACCTTTTATAAAGTAGTACATGTGGATTCGTTCCAGCTAGCTTCTATAGAACTATAGTGGTAAGGGTCCCATATCTTAATAGTTAGTTCACAGTTTGCGAGCATGTTTTGCGAATTTTAAGTATGCCCTATATAATTATAAAGTAACCAATCATTGTACTTTACTTGATGACGTATGTTATTTTATTAATTTAACGGTACCTACTATAAATAACTACATTATATACATATATATATATTATATACGAGTATATACAAGTATAAGTGTGTTCAATAAATGAAATAAAAATATACAAGATTTTATTTTGGATTTTAGCTAATCAACTATCCAAGGAACTTATTTATTTTTAAAAATGATCAATAATTATTAATTTATGTTTCTTAATTTAATATTTATGTAACTATTATATTATACATTATACATAAAATGTGTTATGATTATGAAAATGATTCACAATACTAACAATTAAATTCTCATCGATCCATTATAAAAAAAAAGTATAACTAAACTCAGAATCATTATATTCAAGATTTTACGTTGCAAACCTCAATGTATGTTTATACAATTGAAGTTTAAACATATGTTAACAATTGGTACACCATATGTTAGTCATAATATGTAATATGTGGTGAATTTCACTGATATTATAAGTTACAGATTTTGGTTTTTCTTAACTGTAATTAAAAATGCATTATTTAATATTTTTTTAAATTTATGGTTAAGGAAACCATAGTAATATAAGTACTAAGTTATTTATAGCATGGTACTCATGCCAAGCCTAATTCTTTTTTGAGAAACACGTGTTGTTTTTACTACTAAAATATTAATAAAATATTAAACATAGGGACAACTTTTTGAGTACAATTTTTTTCGTTTTTCTACAGTAAGTATATAAAAATTATAGTTACAAAAAAACATTTAGTAATACTGTGATAGGCTAAAATCGATACATCGATTTATTATTTTAAAATACTTTGAATTGCCGTTTAATTACAGTATCCAGCAAATAAGATCCTAATCACCACGTGTAATCATTAGTAATTTATTCGACTAAAATAACTAAACATAGAAATATTAAATATTTCTCTACACATAAAATTTGTTTTTCACTTTTTATATGTAAATAATGCAATTTCTAATAATATCATATTTTTATCCGACCAAGAAAAATGTAATAAAATCTCTATATCGTTTCACAGTATTCAAATAAGCTTACGTTCAAGTAATCTAATAAAATACGTTAACTGCAGTAGGGATTCTTTTTTAGTAAGCAAGCATACTACAGGTATATATAATAAACATATGGTATTGTAATGAAACCGTGTACATAATATAATTATCCAAACTTAATTAAATAAGGTACTAGGCACAACAATAGGGTTCCGAGTATTATTACTATAGATTTATCGTAAATAACGAGGAACAGGATAAACGCATCGTCTACCCTGTATAACCATATATACATATTAGTGTTTATATATAAATATATATATATATATATTATGTATAATACGAGTATATACTGTATACACAATACTAAGTAGCCTAAGTGCTGACGCGAGAAAGTGAATACAATGTAATGCACAAAGAAACGGGAGCTCAGAGACTGTATGGCGTAGTATGATTTCCATAATTTCCCGTCTAAATTTTGTAAAATAATAACAATATGTAAAATACGGAGCTCATCGATTTCTACTGATGGATGAGGTTCGATGTGAATGGCAGGCGGGCGTCATATTCGTATTATAATAACATTTACGACTCCGTGTGCACGTACAAAGACACAATAATGTTTCCTCCGATAGTATCTATTGCCAGCTTAAAAATGTATGCGCATTGATGTTTTTAAGTGTTATCAGTACATGCGTATTTACCTATTGTGAATATCACGTAAATGATGATCGTCGTTTTCATATCGGTATACACCAGGCACGTAGCCAGGGGGGGGGGGGTGTTACTGGTGTAGTTACATACTACCCCTCCATTTAACCGTTTTATACTTAAGTCTTATAAAGATAAAAATTCATCATAAACCGTGATGAAAACATATTTATCATAACCAAATATGTACAAAACAATAATGTAAAGCCGGCTTCTCGTTACACCGTTTTGTCTAATGAACCAAAGCCGTGGTTTTGTGTCGTATCCTAAACAATGTAAAATAGGTACGTATGACAAAGATGTACGTTTGAAATGTTAATAAAATATATTTAAATACTTTCACACGGAATAACACATTACACATGAATATCTATTCATGTGTAATGTACTGATGTATTGGTATGCTTTTACGGTGAAGTATACGTAATTATTTTATTGTGTATAATTTTGAATTATCACCGCCCCCCCCTTTTGAAATACCTAACTACGCGCCTGGCGTACACATAACATACGAATAACGAGTATGATAAGATGTTCGCCACAGTATGATATTATTATGTAGGTAATGATGTACATGGTATCATTAAATTACGGTGTTATCGTTGCTCGCATATGTGTGTATAAAAGAACACATCGTTATAGATCCAGTAAGTTCTTTGCTTTGCTCAGAATCTAAAATGTATCGTGTTGGTATGAAAGGGGGCGTAGGCCCCTACTGGTTATTTTAAGTTAACAGTTTTGAAAAGAGTGCTTGTAACCCTTCTTCAGAATTTCAACTCAAGTTGTGCCTGTGTGTATAGGTTGTATTTTATAGTGTTCGCTGTGATCTGATAACAATATTAAAACGACTAATATAAACGTACAGCACATAGTACCTGTACTATATAATAATTTTCGTTACGTATCAAAAAACATACTATTCAACGAATTTATGTATAAATAATTGAGAACGTTAAGGTGGTTTTGAGTTTCATCAATTTTATCGATAACGGTTACCTCTTATACTAAACAATGTGCTTTAGTTGAAAATAAACAAAACAGTAATAAAGTTTATAAAACCTCTACATTTCGTGTAATAAACAAATAAAACCAACCAAATGAACACAGGATTATTATTAAGCCTTGAATATTTATTCAAGTGTCAAATGAATTAGTTACCTATTCTAGTTAGTAGTTTGGTTTTTTTCCCCCATGGAAAAATATTAATATATTACATATTTGACCTATCCATTCGGTTCTTTTTAAATTCTATCTGTGAAATAACTCACGTTCTTAAAAAATATTAAACTGCATAAACAAGTAACGAAATAATGAAATTAGCTCCGTTGACCAACATAGCAAGTAAAATATCGATTACTTTAACTAGTTATATTGTTCAACGTTTCTTTTTTCATTTTTGTATATGTTTTTGTATTCGTTGTTCAAACTTCCTCCGTAATCTTTTTAACTTTCTTTATTTGTTTCTCATTAATTCGTATGTGGTTTTAAAAAAGTTACAAAACATATAATCCATTTCTATATGTTTTCAAGATGTTCCGTATTTGATCTGCTTCGCATTTTAATCATTAAAATTTAATATAGATAAGTATATTATAATTATCATATATGATATGTATGTGATACAGTGATATGTTCATCCACGTTATAAGTGCATCACTAACGTGTTACAACTTTGACGTATCTTGCAGTAAGTTGTTCGAATTCAATTTCAATTATTTAATTATTTAACACATGGAATCTATAGTTTCTCTACAGCATGAAAGTTCACTTATTAACAGAAAGTTAATACTGAATTTAAATTACAATCCAACCATGAATGGTTTGAGAACCACAAGTCACATTTCAGTATGTATACCTTTCCCTCTCTCTCTTTCTCTCTCTCTATCTATCTATCTATCTATCTATCTATCTCTCTATCTCTTCCTCTCTCGTATGTATAAATATATATATATATATATACCATCCTACCTGAAATATAATAATAATTATTAGGTATAATTTTTTCAAAAAATTCATAAAATAACAGTCTGACGTAAAAAATCAAAATTAATTTTGGCTAATTTAACATAGGTAATTTTTAAATTTACATAAATATTAACTAGTTTCTACAATTAAATATTTATTCTTTCAAAAATAAACTTATAATTAATTAACAAGCTAAAAAGACTAGAAATATAAAAATATAACAACTTAGTAGCACTTTTTTTTTTTTTAGTTTAAGATAAACGGTACTTTTATATTCTTTTAAATTTTTTGAAAAATTCAAAAATATTTAAAATAATAATATAAATCTATATGGCCGAAACATATGAACTTTCCTGTAAAATGTTAAAATATTTTGCTGTTAAACAATTGTTAATTTATTTGAAAATCTTCACTTTTTTTAAAACAAATTAACTTTATTCGACTTCGATGTATATTACCTAATGCATCTCTCCGAAAGAACTTATTAAAGTTAATCTGTCATAAGAAATTGCAATACTATGTATTTATATACAGTCATAACGATGGAATAGAGAAAGAAAAAAAATGTTTTGACATAAAACGAGTCTAACTTCAAAAATATCCGTGAAATGTATCGAAACAAGTAACATGTTAACGCGCGTTAAACAATCTAACGAGATAAAAATCATATGTTACCATGCTTATACTTATTGAATTTTAGTTGATGTGTTCAATTTTCATTAATTTGTATCTTTTCTTATTCGTAGAATGAGAGAATTTGTCGAAGAAAACGAAAAAACTGATCCACTAATCCATGCACCAGACAAAAAGAATAACCCTTGGGCGGAAAAAGGAAAGTGTGTAATAATGTGAACGATTCATCACACTATTTTCGCCGTCACCGCCGCGTCACTCTGGCGGCTCTGGCTCCGGTCAAACTTACATTTTCTTTACATTTTAACGCAATCATTTATTTTTTATTTAATGAAAAATATAAAAAATAATTGTAACATTTCCAATATCGTGTATTTTTCGTTTTATTTTGAATTATAAAAATACGTTTGTAATAAAAGTTAAAAAAAAAAATTATAACATAAACAACAAGTATTTTAAGGGTAATTGTATAAGCTCAATAAAATATAAAAATAATAGTCTTGGTTTCAAATACGATAATTAAATTAACTATGTAGGTCGATATGTAGTTAGGATGCGTAAGCGTCTTAATGTTATCAATTTTGGTGTGAGTACTTAAACGAAATACATCTTTATCTTGTTTTTTTTTTTTTTAACATTTATAGATTATATGATTTTACCTTTAGTCATACATATATTATTATTCTAGTCACTGTAATTAAGCCCATCTCAGGTACGTATATTTATATTTATATCGTACCTATTATATTATTAATTATAAATATTTATAAATACTATTTACATGTATTATACTTTTAATTAATAAAATAATTTATAGCTAAGCATCAACAATCATCGTAATAACGGCCATTTTTTTTTTTTTTTTTGTGATCCATTGCAATAAATCTATAAGGCCAACACATGGCTATTACAGTTGATATTTTATCCAAAAAATCCTAATCCCTCCCCTATCCGAGCTTAATTATTTATGAAGTTTTGCGTCCTAAAATTTCTATAAGATTTTATACATTTTTTTTTAAAAAAGGTAAGCCTAAACCTAATATTTGTATAAATTGGCGTGTTGAGAAAAAAAAAACAGTAATTATATAATTTACTATACAAATTCGTTTTTTTTTTTTTTTTTTTTATTCTTTTGTAGTAGTATTTTTCTGATAACATTTATGGGCACCAATTACGTTGTAAGTTTAATATTTATTACTATTAACAATATATAATAATTATTTTATTTTTATCGTCACTACAATATTGCCATTCGTAATACGCGTACGCGTGTGTTATATATATTATAAATGTATTGTGTAGATGTATAAACATATGAATACATTATATATTATACATATGTGTATGTACATGTGCGTGCGAATGTACGATACATTATACCTCTGCATATATATTATATAGGCGAATTCTGTATTATTTGGAAATCATAAGACAACGATTCCGTTTTTAATATAATTTTTAGAAATCATTATTTTGATTCTACTATTGTAATGCCAAAAATGTCTGTAAATAAATTTGAAATATAGATGTTTTTGATCGATTACTTTTAGTTTTTTCCGTTTTGTGCGTTCTCAATAGTTTACATTGTTTATCGTGACAGCCAGCCATACGCTTGCGTTATTATTAAACCTGTACCGTTGACAGACAGCGCAATGGGTTTTCAACAGGTACAATAGTGCACAACTACTTAGCACGAAGTGTCCTCCTATACCGTCGTATAATATGTACGTGGTAACCATATTTCGTTTTTTTATTTTTAACTCGCACGTTCTTCTGCAGTTCTGGTATTATAATTAGCGATGGGAATAATCGAATGATTAGTAAACAAAATCAAAAAATTCGAAAAATCGAATAATTAGTAGTCGAAAACAAAATATTCGAATGAATCCATTCGATTGTTCCCATCACTAATACGCCAAGTATCCGTACGTACGTACGTATTACGATAACGACGCAAACACCTGACTGGTGTATTTTTTCCCTCTGCGTTTTGGTTCGAACCCGTTTACTGGGCCGGCTGAGATTTGCGTTCATGGCGTAAGAGTTAGGCTAAAGACTTTATTCGCAGTAAACCTAGAAACTACTTGATGGCGAAATTACTTGAAAAAAGGAAAGATCAGCGGCGACGTGGTTTTAATAAAATATATCGTAGTGACAGGCGACGATTGTGAATATTAATGAAAACGGATCGCGTTCCGACGAGTAATTTGAGCAACGAAGAAAAAAAAACGTAACGATGTTTTATTTTACATGTTCAACCCTTTCCAGAGTTCATTGAACGCCACCTGACTTGGTTATAAGCCATGTTTTCACTGCTACAGTATTATAACGTTAAATGGTAAAATATGATAATGAATACGATCAATACTTCAAATCCTTGTGTGTATATATTTGTGATTTCGCTCACTAAAACTGTAATTCTTTTCTTTTATTTATTTACTAATTTATTTATTTATTTTTTATATAAGAACTGCAGATTACCGAGCAAATATAATGAAAGTACGTCGTTATATTTAAGTGTTTGTCACACAGAATATATTATGTACACAATATAGGTAGTCAAACAAAATTAAGAATATACAGATATGTAAGATATATATTTTTTTGCAATGCCAACACGAACGCAGTAATGAGATAATTCAATACAACGTACATTTAAGTTAGAAACATAACAGTATGTAATTCAATAAATTGTTTAAATGATTTAAAAACAAAAAAAAAAAATTTGAAGTAATGTGATTTCTAAACGTCACGGAAGTTAATGAATCGATCCAAAAATTAATTTATTTTACTCAATATATCAACTATACGAATTTTTTTCTTTGCGTTTTAAGCCTGATAATGTTTAGCCGAAATGGTGCTTTGAGTAGGTAACTAAAAGGTTCCGTCTTAGTATGAAATATTATATAATTTATATAGTATAATTTATTATTTAATTTTCGTCTAACCATCAATCTCTTAAAGTGTCATGTAATATAAAACTATTTAAATACTTACAATAACATAAAAATATTTACTATGCCTGATAATTTTGTTTTTTACGTGGGATGCAATTTTTGATAAACAATGAGATGTGTTTAATAATACGTGAAATTATTAAATAGTTTTAAGTGATCAGAGTTAAAATATCGGAGAAAAATTTTCAGCTTAAAAATAAATGTACAAATTTAAAACAATTACATCAGAACTATAAATATAGTTACTTCGGTCCCAGTTAAAAATTCGGTTAAGTCAGGAAAAAAATAACCCTCAAAAAAGCTTTTAAAAACATCTGCAGTTTACTTAGAGTGTTGTATATTATAAACATTATACGATTTGATACTATTTAATTATTTACAATGCATAAGACTAGCTGAAAAAACTTCAACAAATAAATGTCCTATACAGGATTTAGAGCTTAAACGCACACATAAATTATTAAAATTAGATCGTCCAAACATTCAAAAATCGGTTCTGGAGAATAAATTTTAGTCTAGTCTTACAATACAAATATAGTTTATGATAAATATTGTCTTGGAATTAAATTGTAAGTACTTAAAACAGAATATAACTTTCGAGTGAAAACCGCAATAGTTTGAAGAAAATCAAAATGTTTTGAATTGTTTTCTTACATTCTTTTCGCTAAAAGAACATAAAAAAATAAGAATAAAAATCCGGTATAAACATCGGCTGCATCCGAGTTGGATCTCGAATTTAAAATTACTATACTAGTTGGGTCCCGAATTATTTTAGGTACTACACTAGTTGGGTCCTGAATTATTTTAGGTATTGCACTAGTTTCTGAATATTTTTTGGTAAGTAATACATTATACTAACATTTTCCTTCCCATTTTAACAGACTTAGGACTTTTTATGATCTATTTAGATAACAGGTATAGTTAAAAATATTTTTTATAGTTTTTTTTTTGTTTTTTAGTTTCTTTTCCATTAAAATATAAATTATTCGAATTGTGTTGGTAAAAATATTAAAAATATTAAAATCATTATATAATATAAATAAAAATTAATGGAAAAGAAACTAAAAACTATGAAAAACATGTTAAAAATGTTTGACCAAACTAGTCTAGTACCTATAAAAATTCGAGACCCAACTAGTACACTACCTGCAATTAGTCCTTAGTACTAGGGACCCAACTGATATCCTCCGAAAACATCATGTATCCGTACTCAGTATCCAAATTGATGAGAAACATTGCATGAGACATTACCGGTGCATTTTGTACCTAAAAAAGTTTACGGAGAAAGAAAATATAATATTTATTGTAAAACCAATACATCCCTCTATTCCTTTCGAATTTAAACTATCTTAGATAAAGTGGATAAGTAAAATGTTTTATAGAATATAATACAACAAAATCTAAATGTTATTCAGTCAACTCTTTTATGATGTCATTCGCGACCTTTATCTCACAATGGTGGTATAAATACGTTGCTCTTTCATCATTTACATCGAGTACATAATATAAGAATCTTAATCGATAGGATTAAATTTATAACATTTTACTTTTGTAAGTTTTTTTTTTTCATTTGAAAAATATATTATTCTCAATAAACTCGTAACACTGTCCGAATATAAATCAAATAGTATGATTCAAAACTTCACTTGGACTTTTATTGTTTCAAAAAGCATTGTCCAAACTTAAATTATTAAATTGTATATATATATATATATATTAGGGTAGCTCTTATTTTTAAACTTTCAAATCTTTTATTATTATAAGAAATTATTTCATCATCCCCCTCATTTTGTTTATTATTATAAGAAAGAAATTTGAGTTAAATTTAGTCATGATTACTAACCCCTTTCACATGCCGCTAGGGGGTTAAAAAATTGTAAAAAAATTTAATTCTTATACCTTTTTTTAGTAATGGAAAAAATTAGAGGGGTATAAAATTTAAAATATTTAATTTTCCGAAAGAAATATTCACTGTTCTGATATTCAATACACCTTACTCATCGATTATACTATTGACTATCTTAATCCAAATAGTTAATTAAATATCGTATTAAAATAATAACACTTTTTATGTTTGTTCGACAGCTCTTAGTGGTAATCGGATAAACTGATGCTCGCCCTCGTATTTTATTGAAGATAAATAAACATTAATTTTAAATATTAATACTGATAAGGTTTTCAGAATGAATAATCATGAGCAACGAAAAACGCGAAAAAAACCTACTACAGTTGAAATAACGTTATATTACGTATGGTTGCATTGATTAACTTTAATGTTATAGAGCCAAATGTGTCATATTCTACCAACACAGAAATATAGTGAGATGGGTCTTTAATAATTTTAATCGTCGAATCACTCGCAATCAGTGGTTAAATTATGTAAAGTATAGTTTTCAACAATCTCTTGAA